CCCGCCCGGGGTGGGGGGGGGGATGCGAAGCGACGTACGCCTATGCCCCCAGACTACCTGAAGGTAGTTGTATTGTGAATGAGCTCATAATGCTGATTTGGAGCTAAATTCCTGCAGCTAAGAGGACTTGAACAACAACGAAACAGAAATACCCTCTTTGTCGCTTACAGGAGAAAACCCGGGAACAAAAAGAAGCAGATCTGATTCCTAAAATCCAGGAAGCGGTGAACTATGGGTTGCAAGTGCTGGACAGTGCCTTTGAGCAGCTGGATATCAAAGCGGGCAATTCAGACTCTGAAGAGGAAGAAACGAATGAAAGGGTAGAACTGATACTAGAGCCAAAGGTAAAGGAGCCGGCCTTATTGGGGACCGTCGGGCTTGAACGAGATAAAATTCCACCGTGCAAGTGGGGAGCAAAGCCAGCCAAGTTGGTTATGCGGGTGTAAAACTGATAGAAGTTATGCCAGAATCAGGCCTGTTGATTGGGGCTGTAGCTGGGGGCTTCTGTGCCTTCCAGCCAAGAGGGTAGTAATACAGGTTGAACCTCTCTAGTCCGGCACCCTCGGTACCTGACTGGTGCTGAACCAGAGAATTTGCTGGACTGCAGGAGGTCAGTATTGTCTAGCAGCATTGCCAGCACTGCCACTGCTTACTGGGCCCTGAGAAGTCATGGAGGGGTAAATCAGAGCTAAATCACAGCATAGATCGCTGAGAGTCAGGACTGGTGACTGGAAACAAACTTTATGGGATTGCGGGGAAACTTGGCCACACCTATGCTAAGTGGACATCGCTAACTCAAATCATGCCGGACCACAGATGTTGCTGGGCCAAGGAGTGCCGGACTGGGGAGGTTCAACCTGTATTGTGTGCTTATGAAAAGGTCCTGTACCTTTTTCTGTGGAGTTTTTGGGGCATGTGCAAGTACAAGGGGGGGAGCTTATGTTGATAGATTTACTGGAAGGGCACGTTCAGTTTTTGTGTGGGGAGAGGGTCTAAAGAACAGGAACTTTTTTTTAACCCTTTATGGAGTTCAGGGACTGTGGTCTGTCTCCAGTGGATGAATAACAGCCCCACCCATCAATTAATGCCTCTATTCTTCCGTTCTTCATGAGCATTATTCAGCCCCTGATCTGGAACCTAAAGCTGTCCTGGGAGTAAAGCAATGGCTGATGGTCGGCCGAGCGTCGGGTTCTTATAAAACAAAATGGCACTTTTGTTTTGAAATAGGAACCATAAAGTGTCTTCTCCGTGGCATAGAGCTAACCCCGCCCGCTTTGTCTCTTTACAGGATCTCTATATTGATAGGCCTTTGCCTTATTTAATTGGCTCCCAGCTGTTCCTGGAACGTGATGATGTTGGGCTGGGGGATTTCTCTAGTGAAGGTGTGTGTAGATGTTGGTTTTATTTCTGCTGATAACTAGCACCTGGCTTATTGCTTTGGCTCATGTTGAACTGAATGTCTCTGACTGTGTTATGTGATGGGGGTTTTGGTGACTGATGCACGCCCCCCTACCAATAAGCATATGCCTCATACCAGCTACCTGCTCAGCGCTAAATGTTATATGAACCAGTCAAGCTTAATGTGACTAAGCACTCGGTGCTTAGGAGAGCCGATGCTTGTAGGCATGGAGTGGAGGAATTATCACCTGTGCTTTTCAAACCAATCTCTCCCTTGCACAGTGATTAATTCTTTTATCAAAGCCTGCTTACCAAACTGTAGGCTAGATGTCTGTGTTTTGGGGGCTGGATAGTTGTATGTAGGGGTGTTGGATATCGTGTATTTCAGTACTAACGTAGCTGCAACAATTGTTAGTGATTACACGGTTATTAAAATACTCCCTGGGGGCGGGGCCGGCAGCCAGTGTGCTCCCAGCCCGACTCCTGGGAAGACACCTGCCACCTCGCACTGCTGCTTCTGAGTCAGAGGCAGCAGCATGGGGAGGCAGTCGGAGCAGGTCAAATGAGGTAAGCCGGTTTAAAAATCAGCTCCTCACGCAGGCCAGATCCCGCCTGCCACCCAACTATGCAACAGCAGCACAGAGTGGCAGTGACCCCTGTCCATGGGGGGCTCGAGCCTCCAGCGGACGGAAGCTGCATCGGTATCCTCTCGTTCTCCCCTCCTCCCCCCCCGCTCCTCCTCTGCTGCTTCTGTATCAGAGGCAGCAAGGAGCGGGGGAGATTAACGGATAAACCTAGGCTTATCGGTCATTCGTTTAAACGGCTGTACGCTGACATCCCTAGTTAGATGTCTAGTGTGCTGTTTGAACTGAGCAGCTTTTCCTGTTTTGTCACTTTTGAACTTAAGGCTCGGTAGACAGCGATCGTGGGAGTGTCATTGACAGTGAAGAAAAAGATGAAGAGGTAAGAGGAGAAGAAAACTGGCAAGTTAAGGTCGTTGGGATCGAGATTATCACCCACTAGGGGTTGTGATGATGTAAATAACTCTTTGCACTGCTTGATTGTGTCATTATATGATGGTTTCATTATTTGGAATATTCTGCTCAAACATCCCTGAAGAGCCCTGTGTGGATACAAAATTTGTATCCATAAAAATGAGCTGTGGCTATCCATGCTGACGTCCACGGACACCGATACCCACAGATATCTGCAAATTTGCACAGTTCTAGATACAATATTTGTATCCCCATCCATATCCATAAAAATGAGCCACGGATACCCATGCATATAAAGCAGATATCCGCAGATTTGCAGGGCGCTAGCTGTATATCTGGCTTTTAAAGTTGTATATACATATTTTGCTTTGTGTTCTTGTGCAGTGTTTTTTCCCCAAAACTAAATCTTTTCTACAGAGCAACAAAAAGACCCTAGTTCTAGTTTTGCTGCCTGTATTGAGCCGTGTACATCTGCCAGGAATAGTGTCACTCTAATCACTTTCTGGGAAATCACCGAAAATTAGCCCTTCTTGTGGCTTCTAATGCGCCATCGGCAAGGCTTGACAAACCGCTGAATCTACTCGCCCGTGGCGAGTAGATTTCAGCCGGTCGCTCCGTGCGCCTCATTCACTGGCGCTTCGCGCATGCGCAGTACCGGTCTGGCACATGCGCAGTGCGGGGCTGGCGAGTAGCTCTGGCTGGGGTTAGTTAAGCCCTGGCCATAGGTTTATGCAGTAATCCAGTATGAGGACAGAGTACCAACCACAGCACCATGCTCTGCAAACCTGCGTGGTTCCACTGATTATGGTGAACCAGAACTTGTGGTTTTATGCATTTCCTGTATCCTCTTTCGTATCCGATGAACGATGTCTGGATGTCTAGTACATGCGCCATCTGCATTCTGATTGGTGGACACTTGCTGAAAAGTTTTGCTTTTTAGCAAATTGCTTTTTTGCATTCTAGGAATCGGATGACGAGTTTGGAAACCCAAGTGAGGAGGACCAAAAGCCAGTACGGGTAAGTACTCCGAAATGGAACCAAAGGCTGTCTGACTTTTTCAATCCAGATTGGATGCTTTTTTTCACTGAGTTGCCCTAGGACTGACTTTGGGGAAGTTCTGTCTGCTGTGTTATGTCGGCTCAGCGATCACAGTAGTCCCTTCTGGCCTGGGAATTGATAAATCTGTGGTCTGCATATAATAATGATGCAAGGGAGAGGAGAGAGGATTTCATAGGGATGGCGACTGAAAGTCTAGGTTCATGGTGTCCAACTGTGGCTACTGATATAGCGAACTAGCCACACTCAACCGGCCAAGTAGCCACGTGTTGGACGTCACAGGTCTAGGGTAAAACATGAATCGTGTCATCTTTCAGAGATCTTGTGTGTGCGCTCAGCATGTTTGGACCCAGTGGTCCCTGGTTTGGTGGGCGAGTAAAGCCAACTTGCAGCTCAAATCCAAGGCTTTAGAAATCTAAACAATAAATAGAAGCCGGAAGGTAGAAACAGGCGAAAGGGGTGTATGCGTCAGGGTGAAAACACTACCATAATGATCAGATTATTTGTCCTCTCTTCCCTTTAGTCAGCTGCAGGAATGGTTAGTGCTGGGCCCAGGGGAAGATGATGCATTGCTTGTGTCTTAGACCACTTTCTTCCCGGTCATCCCCACCCCCAAAATAATTGTACCCCTCAAACTAGTTGAATGTTCTCTAAGCAAATTCAGTGCTGTTCGCTGGCCCTGCCACGGAAAACGATGGTTTGTGGTGTTGCTTCTCAGAGAAGGACCTTCGGGAGTGATGAGGAGGAGGAAGAGGATGGCTGTGACCTCTTTGGGGACTCCGAGAAAGAGGAGGACGAGGAAGAGAACGTGGAGGAAAAGAGGCCGGTAAGGGTTTACGGGTGGGAAGGGGGCATGATTCCCGCTGTAACGTAGAGGAAGAACGGCAGTAGTATCCGGGTGAGGAAATGAGCACAGTGCTGGCTCGTGCTCTGGCTCGGGGTGTTTGAGGTGCTTGAGGCTCCCTGCGTGATACTGTCACTGAGGGGTGCGCAGCCACTGGGCCCTGCACCCCACCCGCAGCCAGACGCGACACTCAGCTGGCAGGTAGAACAGAAGGTTTCTTCGTTCCCAGGGACACTGCGCAGAACAGACTTGTCAGCACAGGAACCAGAAGCAGTCGGTACAATCCATTTTGGGAAGAGGGGGGCCCCGACTCACCCTGAAGCCCATCCCTGCCCTGCAGCCAGTCCCACCTCTGGCCTTTGTCCAGCTTCCCGGGCAATAGGTGTCACCTACAACATAAGAATGGCCCTACTGCATCAGATCAAAGGTCCATTTAGCCCTGCATCCTGACTGCCAATAGGGGCCAGTGCCAGGTGCCTCAGCGGGAGGGAAGACAACAGAATCCTCACGTGATTTCCAGACACACACAGGCTAGCGACACCATTCCTTCCCATTCTGGCTAACAGCCATTGATGGACCTAACATCCATGAACCTATCTAGCTCTTTTCTGAACCTTGTTAAAGTCCTAGCCTTCACAACATCCTCTGGCAAAGAGTTCCACAGGTTGACTGTGCGCTACGTGAAGAACCACTTCCTTTCGTTTGTTTGTTTTAAACCTGCTGCCTATTAATTTCATTTGGTGAACCCTAGTTTTTATGGGAACAAGTTAATAACTTTTCCTTATTCGCTTTTTCCATGCCAGTCATGATTTTATAGACCTCTTTCATCTCTCCTCTTGGTTTTCCTGTGATCATACCCTCTTCCCAAGGCTCAGCTTACAGAAAGCATCGGTGAGGGAGACACGCACACTGAAATTCCCATCACCATCTGGATAGCGATGCAGTGCCCTGGGAAACTGAGGCACACATGGGATCACTACAGGACCTTTTCTATAGCAAAGCGAACAGAGTGAATATGATCCCTGCTTTCTCACAGATACCCCTTGGGGCGGCAGAGGTGCAGGTTGGCTCCGGAGCAGCCCTGAGGCTGTGCAAAGGCGCTTATTGCACTCCTCCATGCAAATGTTCCGTCTCCCACTCTGGGGGCTGCCCAGTGCTGCCTTGGGTGTGGCGCTGTGCAGCCAATAAGGGAAGGGAAGTGGTTAGCTTAGAATGTGGGGACAACGCCCTTCCTCCTACATACCACGCTAGGATGTGAGCTTCCTCCCTAAGGGTCGGGTCTGAATTCCCTTTCTGGCCAGAGAAATGATGGGATTGAAACTCCTTGGATTAGCCTCCGGTGAATGAACAGCTGTTTGATGCTGCCGGCTTCTGTTCCTGTGTTGACAGGTGTCCAGCCTGTTGCGTGCGCTGCTCCACTATCCCCTCGGGGCATGTTCTTATCTCTGCCAATCAGGGGTGAGGCAAACATCCATTGAAACGCGGCTGTATTCCTTTCACTGACTTCCCCTTGATTCTCTTCCTTCTCCTTCTTGTGCCCTCAGAGAAAGAAAAGACCAACCTCGTTTGCTGACGAGCTGGCGGCGCGGATTAAAGGGGACGTGCCTAGCAACCGAGAGGAAGTGCAGTCCTGTAAGCTACTCTTCAGCACCTCTCTGTGGGCCGTCCTAAGGATGAGTGTGTATTGTGTGAAAGCGAATAGGATGCATCTTGCCGGCAAGGACAAACGATGCCATGCCAATAACGCAGCATTTGACTATGGGACCCTAAGGGGTTCTAGCCTGGTATAGGTATGAATGTTAGAATTTGTAGAGAGAACCAGTAATGTTCTTCTCCATTTAGGCATATGCGTCTGACCACTTTTCTCCACGTCCCTGCATATGAGGCTAGGAAGGGGTTCTCGCCAAGGCTGTTGTTGACTGGGGTAAAATTTCACATTTGGGTTACGTCTACGCTACGAGTTTTCGCAGCAAAAAGTATGCTAATGAGGGGCTTATTTGCATGATTCACAATCTCATTTGCATATTTCCTGCCAATCTGTTTTTGTGCAAAAAATACGTGAATGAGATTGCAACCCATGCAAATGAGTCCCTCATTAGCATATTTTTTGCCGAGAAAACTCGTAGACGTAGCCTTGGGGTAAAATGTGCACTGTTTGGCTGTTTCATGTGGCTGAAAGG